TCATGTACTTAACTTTCAGAATATACATGGAGTTTTAAGGAACTGGGCTTAGATCACTGATGAGTTTTTCACGATGGGAAATATTAAACAAAGGCATCAAAGTTTTTGAGTTAGAAATCAGAGCAGCAAATGCTGTTGATGCCTCTTAATGCAGAACCTAACGTATTGATACTACTGTATGCAATATGATCATAGTGTACGTAGTCTAGAGGCAATGACAGCAGTAATGTGCCAGTTGAACGCATTCATTTAACTGTATAAATATCCCTGTTGCACTTCAGATTTAAGAAAACATTTCCTATTGAGGTAAATTTCAGGTATTTTCAATTTTTGACAACGGTACGAAATGAACTTCCCTATTTATATTCTTTAGGCAGGAAAAGTGATACAAGTAAAATTCTGTGCTTCGTACTGGTACTTTTTCTCTTAGAGTACTTTCAAAACCTTTTTCCTTTAGAATAGTCTTAAAAATACCATCTCATAAAATAAAATAACTGTCTGGAATTCCTTGAAGCTCATGGTTTGGCTTCTGAAGTTTTTAAACAAATAGACTGTCAGAAATCAGTGTGGATTCATTTCCAGGATTAATGCTTCATTCACAATAGATTCTTTGCAAGATCAATACTCTGAAATATCAGAAGATTAAAGATGTATCGGATACCAAAAACACCAAACATTGTTTTAATTACTCAATAGAAGAAAGCTGGATAATTTTTACTTGCCTATGAAGAATGTTCTGCTTAAGCCAAAACAAATTCTTTACCAGTTTTTTTAGAAAGTCTGGAAGTATTTAAGTTTCTCTCCTCTGCTTATGAGACAATGCCTGTTAGTGACCCAGTGCTACATGGGATAATACTCTTCATTTGTAACAACCTGTCATTCAGCTGGTCAGTAAGCTAATTAAGTGTGTTTGTTAATTGTTTCAGTAATACGGTTTATTAAGTTTGAGGTTTCTTACTGTGTTTGTCACGCCTATAGGAAAAAAAGGAAGCAATAATCCAAGGTCTGTGCCTGTTGAATAGTTTACAGAAAGTTAAACAGTGTATCCATTCACTTCTGCTATTGTGGTATGTGAAATGCAGTCTTTTGAGCTGAATCCCAGAGTCATTAGCTATTAACTCAGGCAAAGCACCTATCGATTACAATCATAGTTAATCATGTGACACTCCTTTATTTATGCCTGTATTGTGTTTTTAACTAACAGCTCATGACAGGGATTTGCAGATAGATCACGCAGGAGCGGGAGTCCCAGGAAACATTGTGGTCCCTGGGCCAGAATCCTCTGTGGTTGCCCTGAAACTAATTGCCAGACCGGGTTCTCTACCTCACTTTACAAGGAGCTGAATAAATTCCTTCTACTGCCTTAGCAGAGAGATTTCGAGGATATAAGCCTTCCTTTTCCCTGGCATTGGGAAGCACATGAAACCCTGGTGGCAGTGCACAACTCAAGTACTGTTAGCGCTCCAACACTGTGGAGATGGGACAGAGGCTGGAGTCTGGACAGAGGAACAAAGAGGTGATGTGGCTTAGGGTGGCCTTTGTGCACCAGCACAGGGTCAGCCAGAATTTCAGTCTACCAGTGGGAATATTCAGTACTTCCTTCAGTTATATAAAATATTGGCATAGAAGCCCAGGCACACATGGGGAAAAATATGTGGATTCGAAACAATACTTTCAGTGTCTGTGAGTGCTTTACCCAGGAAGAACTTTGTTTTATAGCAGTACCATGTGTGCCTCATACTGCTGCTACTGCTGAGCCTCTTTCATCACAGTTGAGCTCTTTTATACCAATCCTTCATGACTTCTTTGCCTTCTGAACCAGTAAGAATTATCTCTAAATCATAAGCTTGTGACAGATGTATCATTCATGAAAATCTGCTCTCTGTCTATGAGGAGTTTTCCAGAAGCCCTCAGGAATATAGGCTAGATTAGTTTAAAATGTGTGTGGATGATGGATAGAGAAGTGTAAGCCTAAGCTCAGGGAATGGCATCATCTTCATGTATAGAGCAAGCTCTGTGCTTGTGTTTAGCTTCCCTGCTTATTTTAGGCTCATACTTATGTGTTGGAGTTGTGTTGAGTGGTGAGACAAACTAAAAATAGTTATGGATTCCCCCAAGTGACTTTTCCAGTCAGTTGTAACTCGGAGACGGGAACAGACTGTCTGAAGAACTAATGAGTTCTTCTCAGTAGTAGGAAGTGGGTAAGACCTTTGAAGTGGATAAAAATTACCTAAAAGTTTTTGAGACTTGTGGAAACAGAGCTTCGGTTCATTGATGCTTAGGGTTTGTGAAAGGGAGGAGCATCTTAAGAAATTGTAGCTGGCTAGGAAACAGTTTGTGCAGTGCCATGGGTGTTGAAAGTATCTGAACCACTATTAGATGTACCAGAGAAATCAGGGTTTATTAGCCATAGAAGAACTCTCTGTTTCTGCTTGGCTTAGGACGTTACAGAGCAGTCATTTTTTCTGATGCATAGCTCCAAAATTACACAGATCTCACACCACTAGGAGCCCCATGTGGCAGTTGTTTTTTCTCGCTGGCCAGTTTCTACAATGATCTGGATGTTAACCAAATTATCATTGATTCTTCAAGCTTTAATTCACCATAGAGGCAGTGGGAGCAACAGCTTTAATCATTGCCAGTGTTACTGACAGGACTACAAACCACAGTTGCCAGATGACTCAGACTTTGGCATCCTTATTTTTGCTCATGGTTTTTATATGGAAATTTGAAAAAGTTATGACCACAGAGATCATGATTTTCAGTAGAGTGCAAATGCTGTTGCACCACACCTAAACTATAAGTGGGCTTTAGTCCATCTTTCTCCTCCTTTTTTTTTATTTTTTCTTTGTTGTTTTATATGCTTTTAATTTACTACTGTTAAATGACACCTTTTCTATTCTGGGGAAAAAGAGAAAAAAAAAAGGGCCAGTTCATGATGGCATATTAGTTCTCATGTCAGTGGAGTCTTGCCTCAACACACGCAAGCTGCTGGGATGTGTTCTTGAGGCTTGTGACCTCGCAGAGGAACACTCAGTGTTAGGTAATGTGCCTTGCTGCCCAAACGTTCCATTTCTGAGATCATAAGGGGAGGTGCAGCACCAGCCTTGATTCCTCTCACTTCTTTTCGGAGAGATGAGTTGTAAAACTGAGGCACAAGACGGGGAGAAGAGTCGAGTGCAAATTGGTTTAGCTGACTCTCACTAACAGCCACAGTATATGACTTTAGTAAGTGGCTTCTCTTTCTTTGAAGAAGCAGTAACAGCTCTAGAAAAGGAGTTGAGCAGCTGTAATTATAAACTAAAGCTGAGTAGCTGTGATTATAAAGTAAAATGGTCCTTCCTAGAGCATGCACACCTGGGATGTGGGTTGAGAAACCAGCGTTGTGTAAAGATGTTGACATGAATTCTCTAAGGTTTTAGGGCAGCCACTTGGAGGAGACATTATGAGTACTCTCCAGTTGAAGGATTTTTGAGCTTCTGGGAACTGCAGCAAGATCTGTATATCATCTAGCTAGAGACAGTTGAAAGAGCTAGTTCCAGTTTTGAAAATAGCCAGGCTGCTGCAGCAGAGAGAGTTGTGCAGAATTCCCTGTTCGTACATCTTGACAGCCTTTGTGAAGTGCCAGGCCAAGAGTTGCCTCTGGAAACAGCAGGCTCTGATCAGGAATGGTCAGTCTCCTGCTAATCCTGCCAGTGCCCAAGCCAGGGGGAGCACAAGACAGCCTGAAAGACATGTGTTCACATAGTGTAAGCCTGGGTCTGCATCTGAAAGATGGGACTTGCTTTGATGCTTTACTGTTTTAACACAGTCAAACACCATCCAGGCCAGGACTGTTTCTCACCCCTTGGAACATGCGAAAATTTGTCACAAGACCCTCTGCAGATGGTAGTGTGAACCTAAAGTTACACAATAATGATGAGCCAGCTACCTTGAGCTGAAAGCTAAGTGGCAGTGAGCATTTGGGTCAGAGGCTTATGTGCTGTCAGGAAGGGAAGTTAGATCAGGGAAGGCTCTATTCACTGCATACTGAGCATTCACAATTCAGCACATTTTAACTGTTTGCTGCAGTGCCTCTTTATATCAGCATTTGCTTTGAAAGTGTTACTAAGTGCACCTGTTGTGCACTTCCATTTTATACCTAATTGATGGGTTTAGGTGTATTTTTGTCTGCATCTCAGAAATACATTTAAGCTTTCTTTACCATGCAAAATGGAAGCAAATTGCAGAAGTCGAGAACATAACTAAGTAGTTTGTAATATTCTGAAAATTAGCAGTATTATTATTAATAAAAAGCATAATAAGAACATTCTTGGTCAGAAAAAAAAATGAATATTGACCTCAGAAATTATTGCAAGATTAATTTAAGTTATTTGCATGGGGAAAGGCACCTGTTTAGAATAACAGGCATCACTAACTTCAGTTTCAGTCATGTTATCTCTGTTACCCTCTTTAGTGTCTGGGCAGCAGAATCTGTCATTATAATTTGGCAGTTTTCAGTAATAAGTGGTCATAAACATTAAACATAAGTTGGCAGAAAGTTGAGGTTCTTTAATAGGGAATAACATTACAGAAATCACAGTCATACTTTTTGTCTTTCTTTAAGAGAGTAATTAGAAAGGTGTTTGAGATAATTTATACAGCTTTTGAAAAAGTGGACGAGCACATTTTTATAAAGAAAAATGCAGGGAATAAGTGGAAGTGGCAAGTTACTACCTTGGAAATATACTCACTCATTCCTATGACATACTGTTCTCTTCTGTTTCTTTCACTTTCTTTTCAAGTTGACACAGGGGAAGACAATAATGTCACATAATTTGCTCATGCCTGTGTAGAAAGCCATTGCAATGCACGGGCACTGGTTAAGTTCAGCAAAGAGCTCCAGTGGATCTTCAGTGTCTCAGCAAGAGGTTGACCCGATGACTGAAAAAGAACGTTGTGCTAGAAGTGAGCATCATATAGTATCATTAACCAGAGTATTCTTTACCTGACTATTCCAGTGTGGCAAAGCACTTCCTGGCCTTTCCAAGCAAGAAGACTGCTGTGGAACCGTGGGTACTTCCTGGGGTTTTAACAAATGCCAGAAATGTCCCAAGAAGCCATGTAAGTGCTATTTATTTGTTATTCTGTGGATCAGTTTATGGCTTTTTTTTTTTCCCCCCTCAAGTAGTATTTTTCCTTTTTTGAAAAAAAAAAGAAGGAACCTAGTAGAAAGAATATGCTATGGTTTGATTAGGGACAGGTTGCAGAAACTGTAATTCTCCTGCGTGCCAGCAGAGTTACAATATGCAGGCACTCAGCACAGCTGGCAAAGTTAATGTTGTTGGGTTTTTTCCTCCTTTAAGTCAGTGATGCACTGTTGCATTTTCTCAGTGCAGGAAAGATAATGACACTGAATCATCTTGCTTCTTCCAGCTGGATTTATTTTTTTAAAAGTTTGCACAGAAATGTTAAATTATAGAGGCGCCAGTTACTGCTTGGAGAGAATGCAGTGACCTCTTGGGACTGCAGATGAACTTTTGAGTTTGAAGCCAAAGTTTTCCAGGCTCTAAATTATCAGTTAAATATTTTTTTCCTCTGTTCTTGAAATATCTTCCTCAACAATTAAGCAATGACAAAGACTTTCTTCGCTATTTTGTTATGATTTGACATCATATCATAATGAGAGAGAAATTTCAAATTATTTACATGATAGGTGAAGCTAGTCTTAAACTTTTTGTGAATGACATTATTGTTGCACAGGAATAGTAATACTTCTCTGTCATGCCATATTTTCATCACTAAATGAAAGATGAGAAAAATAATGCAATCTCTGTTTTGCAGATGGAGTTAACCTGCATTTAGTGGGCCAAAAACAGTGCAAAGAGTTGCAGTCATTCTTACCTAGGTCTTCTAGGCCCCTTTTATTTGTACAGATAGCAACGCTGGAAACATGTTCAGTCTTTGATTTTCTTTTTTTTTTGGAAGCATGTTTTTGTCTGCAAGTCTTAATGTGGACATAAATAAAATTCCAAAAGAAAATCTACTGTTACTCCTACTTCTCCAACTCCTCCTTCCACAGGAGAGTCTGATATAGATTTATACTGACTCAGTCTGATCTGCTAGTTTATGAAGCATTTAAATTTTGTGTTTTGGGGTGTGTTTATCTTCTGATTTGCTTCCAAAAGAGAGCCTCCTGGGTGTCTTTGAAGTCCATAGTTAATAAAAGACTCAGGTATCTAAACTTTTATTCCTGTAGCATGTAAATACAGTTTCTAAGAGACACACACATTCTGTATTGGTGTATGGATTGTGAAATGTGTCATGATTTTGTAGCTTTCTCTAAAGAAGTAGCAATTTAACTACAGCTGAAATTTTTTGTTCGTCAGAAGCATGGGGGTGTGCAGAATGTTGCTTAGTGGATATAGGTGTGTACCATGGGAAAATCACAAAAGCCTGAAACGTGCTTCAACCAAAAACTGGTTGGAACTACTAATACAAATTTTTGGTGCCTGGTTCAAGGGGAAGCCCATGTGCTAGTTCGTTGTAGCTCAGGTAAAACACTGGTCTCCTCAGCCTGGAATCCACAATAGCGTGTTGATCAGGCAGCTGCTTAATGCCAGCATGCTCGGCATCATGTTAGGAGCAAGCAAACAGGGAAACACTGGGACAAACCACGTCCGAAATCCTGGTCCCCAGATGCTTCGTAAGAAGTGCCTGAGTTCACCCTAAAACCTCTCCTGAAGGGAAGTCCACCACCCTTTTTTCAAAGCACTGAGTAAGAATAATTTTTTTGAAATGCTAATTAGATGAGCACTGTCCTTTATAATAAAAGCTTAATGGGCTAGCACACTTGCTCAAGATGGGGCAATTCAGAGGTCCTTTATCTGCCAGAATAATTTCTAATCTACATTTTATACCTATGAGGAGATGCCCTAACCCGTAAAATGTAGAAAGAATTCTTGGAACAGGACTGGGAACCCAGGCTCTTTCCCAGTGTCCTTAATTACTTATGGTATGAGTCATGCTCACTCCTGCTTTCTGGCTCAATCTGGAGTTGTTTTTTTGAATGTAACTATACGATTTCAAGAGGAGCCAGAGAATGTTGCCACTTGGAATAATCCTGTCCTTGTGATTAAAGCATTCCTGGAAAGTAAGGGGTTTTTTTGTGTCTCCTAGACATAATGCGATACATGTCTCATCTTTCTAGTTGGGAGCTCTCACTGTTACAGCGGTGTTTTAAGAAGGGAGGAGGAGATGGGTACACTGCCTGTTTTCTCGAGATTAAAATACAGTGTCATCTACCACTACATTACATCAAGAGTATGATTTGGTAGGTGTATGCTTCAAAGAATATTCGCTGAATCTGTCAGGACGCTTTGGTAGAGGGATATGTAATTTCTTAGTCTAGATTTGATTTAGGAATGAGTTAAGCATGATGCTATTCAATCATGCCATGACTTATGGCAATTCTGCATGAGTACAAATGGTGACTTCAGATTTCTGAGAACTTAAGGTGATAAATTTGGAGTTTAAGTGATCTTGCAGCATGAGTTTAAGTGATCTTACAGCATCTTAGAGTTTTATAGATGTTCAGTTTGAACTTAGGCACACAACTTGTTTTGGATATAGGCCTAAGTGTCCTTTGGGCGTAGGTGTCAAATCAAGCCTCATGTCAGTATCAAAGTGTTATGCTTCTGAAGAGCAAACAAAGATAAATGTAAATTTATGATAAGATTTAATGAAAGTCTGAAGTGCCTGCTTAAGGATTTGTATTTCATCAAGTTTGGGTTGGGTGTGGGTTTTTTTTTTTTTAACAATAATGAGAAAATTTCAGTGGCAAAAAAAGTATGCATGTATATATTTATATATATGTGTATATGATATTGGATGGAAAACCTTGGGAGTCAAGTAAATTATTAGTAAGTTATCAGTTAAGTGGTGTCCATGGTAGTGTCTCAGCAAGCAAAGTTAGTCCCGTATTAGTCCCGTGTCCAGAACATTTTGACCTGTTCTGATACCTCACTGAATTGGTATTACCCTCTTATTGTAGACGTTTTGAAAGCAAATGGACTTCCTTTTGCTTTTATAGTTTTATGCTTCATAAACTTCATTTAAGATTGACCTGTTTTTATAATAATACATGATCAGGTTGCATTTAATGTGATCTTCTGCAAAACCCACTTCAGCAAAATATTTAAGCATATACTTCAGTCTCAGTAGCAGGCACTTTTCTTCCCTGTTTAGTCAACTCTTAAGGATGTATTTAAGTTTGCAGGTGTCTTGTTTCCATGGACTTAAATAGGGCTTTGTCACTTTGTAAAGATGTACTTGCATATTTTGGGTAATAGCCACTGCTCAGTCAGGGCTTCTGTCTTGTTGCAAAGTCAAGTGCCTTGGCCTGAGACAGCTCCCATGTCTCTAAGTTTACGGGTTATGCAGTATTACTGAAAAATAAAAGAAGAAATTTTGGAACAGATCTCCATTTTTGAGGGCTTCTGCAGAAGACAACTTTTAAGACAAAGTGCATTTCTGTGTTACATGGGGAATGTTATGATTGTTCAGGCTTTTTGCTAACAGTTAATAATTACAAACAGGTTGTCTAAGTGAGTAAAGGGTAAGTAATGTAGGACTCCATCCAGCTCCCACATGGATCACTAGCCATCACTGAATAAGTTCCTTACTCTACTGCAACCTGCTTGCGTTGCTGCTTTTTGTAGAAGGAAGAAAACAGCTGCTAGTAAGCCGCTATTTCCTGTTCAGTGTGGGAGTAGGAGGACGAGGAGGGAGGGAGAGGTTAAAATCTCTGACCTCACTCCACCACTGCACTTTCTAGAGCAGCTGAATCACCCTGGAAGGGAAAATGGGTTGCAGCACTGGAAAAGGCCTGGCATAGTTTATGGGCTGGTCTCCATCTACAACTGGAAGAGCTTTGCTCTTCCTCTGTTTTCCTCTGCCAGGCTGTACTGTAGGGTACCATTCTTGCCCACAAAAAGTTAGAGACTCTCTTGATTTTAGTGGGAATTGAATCAGGTCTGAAATGGCAAACACGGATAAGGTAGGACATAATCAGTGCAGTTATGAATCTGACTCTGCCAACATGAGCATTAGGAGTTTCACTGACATTTTTGAGGACCAGGAATAGGCTAATGCATTGCGCTTTTGAAAATCTTACTTTAAATTTCATCTGGTTTTAATATTAACATTGTGAAGAGATTGGCACTGCCTTGAAAATAATAGCTGCCACTTTTTTGGTGAGAGATGAAATTTTCAAATTTTAGTTTGTGTTAAAATGGTTGTAGTCAGTATAAAGATGGACAAGTATGTGTTCAAAACTGTAAGAACATTGTTTCTGTATTTTGACCTGTACGTTTTTGTGTTTAACCATTTTATCACTTTAAGCAATCTGTAAGGAGAATCTTAATGTTCTAATTAAGCAATTATTTAAAATAATTCACAGCAATTTGAAATAAAACTATCTCACTCCAAAAGCAGCTATTCAAGAACATCACTTAAATTTTTCCAAAGAATAAGAAAAGCTTTAGAACTAATGAAAATAATTGGGTTTTTTTTCTTTTTTTTACACCCTTATAGTCAACCATTTACCAGTTTTAAAAGAAGCTGCAGGGATAAATGTGCAATTCAGGCATTATATGTGAAGCGAAGCCAATTGAAAACATTATTTCACTCAGTTGTTCTGTCTTATTTGACAGTTTATATACAGTAAAGATGGAAAGTAACGTGTTTGAAATTTTTTT